CATGCAGAGAGATCTCAGTCCTGCAAAGGCACATTCTGCAAATACTCATTGCTGCCGATGGGACCATCAGATGTTGCAATGTTGATATTCAAGGAGTTGTTTGAAACTTACAGAGCCCAGTGAAACTTACTGGAAATCCTTCACATCCCTTTTTGCATCCCCTTCTCTCTCAGCTCCTCTCCATCATTGATTCTGTTGGCATCTCCAGGCACCAGAGCAGCCTGTGATACATTTGCCAGGGGTGGGTTTTGAGCACCATTAGTTAAGCTGATTTATTTTGTTGGCTCTGTGTCCCCGGGGTCCCTGTGAGCCAGCCCATCTCACTGCTGGAGAGACAATGTCCATGCACTTCCAGCATTTCAGAAAGGACATGGGATCTTCTCACAGCAACCCCTTGACAGTGGCTAAACAAATACAATGTGAGCAGCCTTTCCATGCTAACCAGTATTTCCCAGGGCTCCTTTTTCCAGGTGTTTGCACCCAGATGCTGCCACTCCTCTTTCCCTTTCAGATCTGCGGTCGCAGCTCAAGCCAGAGAGTTAAATGTGCTTTTCCTACCAGCCCTCATCTTCCATCACCCAGTGATCACTGCCTCCAGCATCACAGGAGTCAGCCCTTGCTGCTTTCACCAGGATTTGGGATGTGTAACACTTCATTTTCTACTAACAGGGCTTAAGGAGCAGTGGTTGTACATCCACACTGAGAGCTGATCCATGTGGAAGGTCATGTTGAGGGTGGAAGATGGTCTTTAAAGTCCCTTCCAACCCAAATCCTTCAAGGATTCTTTGAGTTTTTAATGTCTGCCTCATCCAGTTTGGAAATACAGATCCATATAGGTTTTATTGTTTACATTTTATTTTTTTATTTTATTCTATTTCTTTTTGGTTTAAGTTTGCTTTTCAAAGGGTGTTTTTCTATGTGAATTTTACAGCTCCACTTCACCACCCAAGGTAAGAGAAATGATGCCATCCCAGTGGCCAATTCCCACACTGTTTAGGAACAAATGGAAATGATGTTGTATTTAATTATCTCAGCTTGCTTACCATGGTATTTTCACTAATATTTGGGTTTAATGAGCTAGGAAATCTGGGCCATTGTGTGCTGGTGGATACACTCATCCTTTCTTCAGCTAAATATGTTATCAGATAGCTTCCACAGAGATGAGCAACTGCTTCCTTTGAACTCGGGAATCATCAGGATTCACTAATTTGCTTAGACCACCTGCTTGGCTAATATTACCACAGGCCTCTTATTTTCCCTCTGAAATAGTAAACAGAAATCTAAATGTTGCTCTACTGACCCTGGAGATGAGGAGGCTGAGGGGAGACCTCATGGAGGGTGCAGCATCCATCTCTGCTCTCTATGGCAGTGACAGGGAATGGCTGGAGCTGTGTCAGGGCAGGTTTAGGTTGGATATCAGGAAAAGTTCTTCCCCCAGGGGTGGTGGGACACTGCCCAGGCTCCCCAGGGAATGGTCACAGCTCCAAAGCTGCCAGAGCTCCAGGAGCATTTGGACAATGCCCTCAGGAGTTGGTCTGGATGAACCTGTGGGTCCCTTCCAGCTCAGGATATTCTGTGATTCCATGACCCACCCCAGACCAGCATCTGCTCTGTCCCAGCCCACAACAACACGGATGCACAGCACCACTGACAGCCTCTGCTTCCCACCCAGGGACTTGCAGCCCTGCAGAAATGCTCCAGCTGGAGCTGCAAAGATCCCAAGGTCCCACAGGAATTACCTTATACAAGAGAATTACCCTGCTTCTCCACTCAATCTGCCTTGTGTTTTGTGTGGGGTGTCTTTGCTCCCAGGACACGTGGTCTGCACTTTGGATTCTCCATCTGCTGGGAAGGGAGTTGGCCACGGGGGTGTTGGTGAGTGCCTCCACTGCAGTCAGGGAAGGAGATTTGCTCCCAGCCAGCTTGAGGATCCTTCCATCGCACGGATCTGCACGGGCACCCGCCCTGAAGAGCACGGAATGCAGCAAGGAATTTCTTCCACGGGTCACAGATCTGTTTTTTAATTACCATAGAAACCTCCAAACATCAGGCGTGTGCTGTTACGTCAGGGTCTCACTCCTCCACAGCTGCCTCCTTGGGACGTTCTGGGGAATGGGAACTGTGGGGTCCTAAATTCTGGGTGATTATTTTTGGATCAATTAGTAAGCATGGTTTTGGTATCTCCTGCAGCACAGGACAGAAATCGTGGCTTTGATCCTTTTACTCTTTTCCACCACAGCTTGCTGTTGTGGGGAGACACCATTTCCCACCGCCCTGCCCAGCCTCACAGAGGGATGCATTTACTGCTTCAGCCCTAAATATCCTTCCCATCGCTGCCTTTCCCACTTTAGACATGCAAAATGCAAAACCTGGGAGGCGTTCTTGGCACAGCCAGCTTGGCAAGCCTTAAATTAGCGGGGTGTGAGCGCACGGCGTTCCCACCCGGAGCTCCTCGTGCCGCGGGAGACTCGCTCCGCGTTCCCGTGCGAGACGCGCACCCGGCGCGGCAGATGGTGCATCCTCACGGCTCCACGGCCATCCCAAAGCATATCCCGACAGCCAGAGGGCTGGCAGCGCTTAGGTGAGGGGAAAGGGGCTCCTTGGTGGAGCATTCCTTGGGATGGAGCCGGAGGACGAGGCAGATGGCCGGGGTTTGTTGGCAGGGAACTCCAGTTTGTTTAATTAGTCACTGTGGGAATCCAGGGCTTCCCTCTGGCTGCCCTGGCAGGTCTGGGACCCTGGCAGGGGTCAGGAACCCCCCTGGACAGAGCCCCCAGAGACACTGCCTGTGATCTCTGTCCATGGAAAAGAGTTTTCAATCTTACAGGATGAATTACAAGCTCTGAGTGTTTGATATAAGTAATAATTAAGTGTGGCACGGGTGCAAAAGTAAAATTTTAGGTTTCTAGATTAGGGGTCCAAAGGGGACAAGATGGAGGAAATTGGGTGTGCCTTGTCCTTTTCCTCCTTCTTCATGCCCTCCATGTTTCACTGTGGTGTTGGCATTTTTCTGTTGGTTTAGGCTGGGGACACACTGTCCAACGTAGGTGACAGATATTGGCACGTTATTGTAAATCCAGCACAGGTATTTTGTGGTATTTAATGTTTGTACCATCCCACTGAGGGCAGAGCCCCACACGCTGCCCTGCAGGACAGAGCTGCGGCAGGGCAGCAGAACATGTTAGAGATAAACAGAATAAACAACCTTGAAACCAGCACAGACCAATTATGGCTTCTGCTTTGGCAGCGGGGCTGACAGACAGAGACTTTCTACAATCTCGGAATCACCAATACCCACAGATTCCGACAAGTCACCAGACAGACTGAGAGCTAAAAGCAAATTCCAAGTGTGGTGAGATGGACCATTTGCACTTGATGGCTACCTGGTGATCCTCATCTCGTCATCCTGCAGTGGGATTGATGCTCCAGCACACGGGACCAGGTGTTCCCAGTGGTTTTGGGTGGCCTTTGTTTCCCCACCACTGTTTTCCTCCCAAAAAGGGCAGATTCAGACATGTGTAGCTTTAAAAGCAACAAAAGGATGCACAAACATGGAGTTTTTCTTTCTCCAGCCCCCACCAGAGCACACAGCCACTGGTAGGGGATGGATTTCTAAAGCAGCTCCAAGAGAACTGAAGAGGGACTTTGGACAAGGGCCTGGAGTGACAAGACAGGGGGAATGGGTTCCACTGCCAGAGGACAGGGTCAGATGGGATATTGGGAAGGAATTCCTGGCTGGGAGGGTGGGCAGGCCCTGGCACAGGGTGCCCACAGAAGCTGTGGCTGCCCCTGGATCCCTGGAAGTGTCCCAGGCCAGGTTGGACAGGGCTTGGAGCGATCTGGGATGGTGGAAGGTGTCCCTGCCCGTGGCAGGGGTTGGAATGAAATGAGCTTTAAGATCTGTGAATCTGTGACTCACTGGTGGAGGGGTTCAGCCCCCCCTTTGCCATGATCTCTTCGTGTCTCCTTCCCAGACCATGTTGACACCTGGGCTGTCTCTTAACTCTGAACTTCTCTGTCCTCAAAGTGATGAGGGCAGGGAGATGCTGCAAAGGTAGAATCGTGGGATCACAGAATTGTTAAGGTTGGAAAAGCCCTCTAAGATCATCAAGTCCAGCCATTCCCCCAGCACTGCCAAGGCCAACACTGGCCCATCTCCAAGTGCCACATCCTCACAGCTTTTAAATCCCTCCAGGGATGGAGGTACCAGTGTCACTTGCTCCTGAGCATGGATCAGATTTTTGGGGACTCCTAAAGGGGCTCTGAGCTGGAGAGACACTTTGGACAACAGCCTGGAGTGACAAGACAAGGAGAAATTGCTTAAAACTGGTACTCCCACAAATAAAATAACTTTACACCTTTATTTTTGCTTTATAAAATGTTTGATTATGCTCAGTATTTGATGCCTTCTTGCAAACACTTGTGCTTAGGGTTTTTTCTCCTCCATTTCCCTTCTTTAATTCTCTTAATACGGGATGGAAAAAATGAAAATAAAATTAAAAAGGAAAAAATAAAGGAAATAATTGAGAAATGGGAAAGGGAAATAAAATCTGCACAGGAAATGATAACCCAAACACAAATCCTGTCCCTGCACGCTTGGCGGGGTTAAATCCTTATATATTTATGCAAAACTCTGGGGGAAAAAAAAAAAAAAAAAGAAGTTTTAAGAATTACCATCTGGGGACGAGGCCACATTCACCAGACCCCACAGCGGCGCTTTTCCCCCTCAGAACATCCCCCCTGCCATTACCCCGCAGCCCACTAGAGGGCGATTTCCTCCAGCGGGAGCTCGCGGGCCGGCTGCGGATCCGGAGAGCGTTTAGTGTTTTCCAGCATTCCCTGTGCGGGAGGAGCGCCCAAAATTCCCGGGGGGAGTGGCAGAAAGGAATGGGAAGGGGGGGGGACACAGAGGGGACACACGGGGGACACACGGGGGACGCGCGTCCCCCTCGGGCTCCCCCCAGCGGCGCGCGCCCCGGCCCCGCCCACCCGCCGATGACGTCACCCGTATGCAAATGAGCGCCATGGGGGAGCGGGGGCCCGGCGCGCGGCCGGGCTCAGTCTCGCGCCGCGGAGCGCGCGCGCGCCCCCCCCCTCCCTTCCCCTCTTTCCCTTTTTCCCTTTTCCCGCCTCCTTCCCTCATTTTTTCCCCCCCCTTTCATCCCATGGACATGGCACGGCCACCTTAAAAACGCCGCGCCGCCCCCTCCTCCCCCGATCGCCGGGGCCGCTATGAGTCAGGTGAGTGTGTTTTTGTACGGAGTGTGTGTGTGAGGGGGAGAACTTTTGGGGGGGATTGTGCTGGGTGTTCCCCTCTCCCCCCCCATCCCCATCCCAAATGGCGGTGCTGGATGTGGGGGGATCGCGGTGACGGCGGGGGTGGGAGGAAGGCTGAGTGCGAGCCTTCCTCTCCATCCTCCTCATCCTCCCGCAGCCCCCCTGACGCCCCCTCCTCTCTCTGTTCCAGGTGTGAAGCCCCCGCCGGGAGGAGGTCGTTCCCCTCGCTGGCTGCAGCTCTGACGCTGGGATTTTCCTTTTTTTGGCTTTTTTTTTTTTTTTTTTGTCGGCCCCACCACCTCCCTCCTTCCCTCCCTCGCTCCCTCCCTCCAGGAATCCAGCGCTGCACCGAAGCCAGAAGAGAGGGAGCAAAACCCAGCCCAGGCCGAGAGCTGCGTCCAGAAACCAAACCCGCCCTTCGCGTCGCAGAGGAGATTTTTTTTTTTTTAAATCATCATCATCATTATTATTATTATTTTTATTTTTAACACCCCTGACCCGAGCACGGTGGCGGCAGCGGCGCCGGGGCAGGGAGGCTGTCCCGGTTATTTATTCTCTCCCCGCAGAGCTGTCCCTCCGGCTCACCATGATGTTCCGAGACCAGGTTGGCGTGCTGGCCGGGTGGTTCAAGGGCTGGAACGAGTGCGAGCAGACTGTTGCGCTGCTCTCCCTGCTCAAACGCGTCAGCCGGACCCAGGCTCGCTTCCTCCAGCTCTGCCTCGAGCATTCCCTGGCAGACTGCACCGAGCTCCACATCCTCGAAGGGGAGGCCAACAACCCCGGTGAGTGCTGGCGTTTTGCTGCGAGCCTTCTCTAAATTAAAAAAAAAAAATAAAATACACCCAACACCCAATAAACGGGTGAGGTTTGGGAGCCGGGGGCTCCCCCAGCTCGGCTTCTCTGCTCACGTTTTATTTTCCAAACGGGGTTTGGCTTATTTCAGTTTGGTTTTTCACAGCAAACTACTCCGCTCCATGGCGTGGTGTAACTACGGTAGCGTGAATGATTGGTGGGTTTTTTTTTTTTTTTTCCTTTCCCCCCCGTGCCCCCCTTTCCTCCTTCCATGCAGTTTCCTGTGAAATAAGTAAGTCAGGTCACGTAGAGTCTGGATTTTCTAGGCTTCTTTTGGGCAACGTGGCTTGCTTTGCTCTCTGCAACATGCAGAAGCAGCCCATCGCTACCTCAGACGAACTGTTATTGTATAAAGGTCTGGGCAACTGGGTTATCCTATTTTTTTTTTTTTTTTCCTGTTAAATGTGGCAATTCCTATTTCATCATTCAGATCCTGTTTGGACGCATTTTTTTTCCTGCGGCTCTGAATACCCCCTTGTGTTCCAGCAGAGCTCTGAGAAAATATGAGTGGACTGTTTCGTGTTACTGAGCATGCAGGGTGCAGGACAGAAAATGTGCGTGGCTACCAAAAGTGTATTTTTCTTTTATTTATTTGCCATTACAAGTTGCTCAACTCCTCCAAAGTAAATGGGAGTTGGGGCAGGATGGGAATGGCACAACCGCTGTGCGAATTGCGCCGTGTGTGCCCGTATTTATTTATGTGGGGTGTGTTACAGATGTGTGGATGTACACAGGGATGCAAGTTGCTTAAAGTAGAGTTTTTGTAACACAGAGGGTCAGCCGGGAAGGCAAAATGCCATTTAGTTGCGCAGTTCTGTTTCTCCAACACCTCTCAAAAAAATTAAAAAAAAAAAAAAAAAGACCTAAACAAAAAAAAAGCAAAGCAAGCCCCCCATTCCTAAGCAGCAAAGTCGCAGGGGGCTGGAAGCTGTTGGGTTTTGGGCTGTGCGTGGCAGAGCAGCGCCGGCTGTGTTCAGTGATGGGTGGGAATGCTGCGGCCGGATCCCGAACAGAGCCCCCGGTGTGGACGGGGCGGGAGGAATGCAGGGTCCTTCTCCAGCTGTTCCCTATTAGAGCACCGAGCCGGCAGGATTTGGCAGCCGCCTCTGCTGCCATTTGATGACAAGGTCCAGCGCAGCGCCGTGTTCCACCGAGGACGGGTTTAAGTCCTTCTGCAGGAAACCGAGCCTGGAGCTGCTCCGGCGCAAAGGGATCGGGGCTGGCTACAGGGGAACGGGGCTGGAATTGGCTGTTCCCTTATATAGCTCGCAGGAATGAGAGGGAGGAATGCTGCTGCTTTTATAAACAGCTGAAGGGATGAACCTCATCCATCCCTTTGGGTGGGGAGGCCCCGGGAGGGAACACATACTCCAAACTCCTGGATAAATCTGCAGCTTCCCATCTCAGCTTTTGCACAGGTTTGCAGCAGTTCCCTCTGCAAGTTGGTTTGAGCAATGTATTTTTAATTTAATTTTTTATTTTCATTCTGGCTGTGGGTTTGGCAGTAGCCGTGTCCCCTCGGTCAGCCAGGGTGTTGGAGGGAGGGTGATTTGCCTCCTGCCACCAGGATTGGCAAATTTTGAAGGAAAACAGGGCTCTGAAGTGGTCCTGGACACAGAGTGACGTAGGGCCGCCTGTGTGGTGGCATTTTCTCGGTGTAAGCCTGGGTGCAGAGCAGGGGTTGGGCCCTTCCCATCTCCACTCGTGCGAGCAATCCCTGCTTGCCCCTGTAATCCCGTTGACCTTGCTTGGCGCGAGGATTTCTCCTGCGTGCAGAGCTTGGCATCCAGCCTCCTGCCTGGCCCTTGCTGCGTTGGTGGAGCTGCCTGAGCTCTCCCTGGCGTGCCTTCCAAAAATGATCTCTTCCTCCAGGGCATTCGTAGCTCCGGTGCCAAAACCTGGATCTGTCGAGTTCCTCTTTCTCACCAGGCATCCCCTCTGTATGGCTTTCCCTTGGGATGGACATATCCATGCATCCTGCAGAGCAGGACACGCACTTTGCCAGGCAGTCCTGTTGCAGTGCAGGGAAGTTTAGCTGAGATTTGTAACCAGGCTCAGTTAGGAAATAGCTTTTAGTCTCCTGTGTTAGTCCTGCATTCCTAAAACCACCTGTATTCCTTAAATCACTCCTGTTCCACGCCTGTTTGGCAGTCTGGCACTTGTCACTTGCCTGGCAGTGGAATCACACCAAGTCCTGAACAGCAACATCATCATCAAACCTTGCATTACTCGTTACTCTTTGAATCCTGGTGTTTGCATTACTATTTGGGCTCGAGTCTTTCCTGGGCTGGGGCCTGAGGTGGCTCCTGGTACGTTTTCCTGGTGTTTGCTGACTTGGAAATAGCGACTCCCTGCTTGTAGGTGTCCCACTGGTATCCCTGGTCTGGGGGCTGTAGGGCAGAGGATGTTCCCTTTCTGTGAAATCCACAGTCTGGGAAGGGGTGTCACCAGCTGAATGTAACGTGCTGGGCTAATGTCCTGGAGCAGGTGTTGGAATTATGCTGGGTTCTCATGAGAACTGAGTTGTTTCATGCATGCAGGACCTGCTTGTCCCAACCCTGTGGGGAGGTGGGAAAACTGGAATGTTACTCCTAGGTGTGATGATCCATAGGAGGGGGTGGCAGCCCTGCTGTGGTCCATGGTGGATGGGCACCATCCTTGGAAATATTTTCACCACCAGCAGAGATCAGGAGGGGTCCCAGAGGCAGACCAGAGCTCAGAGATCCTCTGTGACTGGTAGTGCTGGGCTCAGAGCCTTCAGGTGTGTGCACCAGGCATGGAGGAAAACCCATTTCAGCAAAGGTGTCCAGGTTGTTTCTTGCCTGGTCGACTCAAGATGAGAGGTCTGATGAATGGCAGATGTGATGGGAAAACCCAAGGAAGAAAAAATTTTAACTGGTTAATTGCCACAGAGAAGTAATTATATTTAGTTTGAAGGAGTTCTATCTTGGTGATTTTTTTTCCAAGTGTGAGGGTCCTCATCTGTACTGCAAACTCTGTGTGGCTCTGCAGTGTACAGCTGTGTATGACCCTCAGGAAGCCCTGGGGATCCTCCTGGTTCTCTGGTTCCCTGCCTGAGCCTGGAGGGGTGGATGTAACCTTGTTGACACCCTCAGATGTCTTGCAGGAAGCTGCATTGGTGTCTGGGGGCACAGGGAGGTGTGGGGGCTGCAAGACCACCTGCAGTCCAATGCTTGGTTATAAAGGGAAAATAGGAGTGGGAAGCAAACATGGAAGGACATCTATGCATTCTTCATGAGGTGAAAATGTACAGCTTGGGACTGTCCTACACAGTGGCTTCACTGAGCTTTAAAATGGTTTAAACTGGTGAAGAGTGTGAACTTGTTGCTAAGTCGATTTGAGTGTGAATGGTTTGGTCTGCTGAGAAGGAGGAGAATATGGAAACCATATTATCCATGCACAGAAATAGAAGTTTCAGGTATTGCAGAGCACTATTTAAAAGCCTGCTATAACTTCCTTCCTTCCTTCCAGCCTGGCCTTGCTGGGCAGCTTCAGTCCCAGCTGCTCGGAGCCGTCAGGGCGCGGTGACCTCCTCTGAGCTACCAGGAAAGGTCAGGCAGGAGTGGGGTGAGCCTTGTGCTGGGAATGGGACCTGTGCTCCTCCTGGGGCACCCAGGGGTGCTGGGTATGGCTGCTCTGTGGGCTGCAGACCCAGTGAGGGGATGTGGGGGCTGTGGCCGTGAAATGTGGTCTGTAGGCTTTGGGCATTGCGTGTAAAATCTGCTTTCCTCTATTCCAGCATCCCTCTGCAGTTTGTTCCCAAAGCAGTCCCACATCCTGCCCCACCAGCCTTGGCTTCCTCACTCCTGCAAGGTTGACAGAAGTGGCCAAAGACTCCTGTAGGTCCTCCAGGTGTCCAAACACCCACGTGCACTGATGGAAGCAGTGACAGCTTTGAGCTTTTTGGCCTTAAAGGACAAGCTTTGTCTGGCCTGTGCACAGGACATTAACTGCTCCATATGTTAGGGCCAAGATCTTTATTTCATTTCAGCAGGCTGTCAGGTATCACAAGGGGAGCATCAGGATGACCTAAATTCCTCATCCTGGGAAGGACTGGCCAAAGGAAGAGACAAGGGTTGCAGGGAGCTGTAATGTCTTTTAATAGACCAAGTGATGCAGCTGGAAAAAATGGCCAGGCATGAAGGTGCACCAGCTCAAAGGAGGGCTTGTGTGGTTGTAGGGTTTTTTTTTTTTCCCAACTGTACCAGCTGGTCTATTAAAAGGTATTACATATTCCTGCAGACCTTGCTGCTTATATCCTTAGCTCCCTGTGGCTCCAGCCCTGCATCTGTTGCTGCCACCCCAGCTGCAGACAGTCTCCCAGCCCATCAGGAAGCTGCTACCCCTGCACTGTACGAATTTTTTAGTTCATCCCTGGTGACCCCCACGGATGGCAAATCATCCAGTGCCCAGTTTGAGGGTGTTTCCCATTTTTTAAAAAATGTTTCTTGGCTTACAGTTGCAATGCAATGTCCTAGGGCTGTGTGAGGGTATTGCTGGGCTGTCACACAGTGGGACTGGAGGAGCCCAGGAGGAGGATGGGGTGAGGCGCTTAGGCTGTGCTTACTGGATGTGAAATTCTAAGTGCAGGGCTGGACATTGGCTTTGTGTGATCATTGCACACATTTGTCTCTGCCTGGAGAGGGATGTGAGCAGCCCTGCTGGCTCTGCTCATTAAAAATTAGGAGCTGAGACTCCTAAATGGAGAGATCACAGAATCACAGAAGGGTTGGAAGGGACCTGAAAGATCATTTTGTTGAAACCCCTCAGACAGGGACAGCTTCCACCAGACCAGGCTGCTCAGAGTTCCATCCATCCTGGCTTTGAACACTCCCAGGGATAGGACAGCCCCAGCTTCTCTGGGTGACCTGGGCAAGCCTCAAATCTGCTGAGCTGACACTTGCTTTTA